TCAATCCACGACATCCTGCTATCATCATCAACATTGGGTTCATACCATTCCCCATCCCTACATGATGGTTCAGCTTTGCCTTTGACGGAAGCGGGCAGATCATGAGCTGCCAATGACATGGTCGCAGAAGCTTCAGAAGTCGATGTCGATGTGAGACCAGGCAGTAGCTCGCTTTGAGCTTAGGAGATGCGGCCACAAGCTCTTACCCTAAACCCTAAACCCAAACCCCTCTTAGGAAGGTAGGCGCTGAGCTGCAGGCATAAGACGGCGGCTCCAGGCGACAAGAGGCCAGAACTGCCTCAATGGCTCTTTCTTTCTGTCTACATCTGCCAAAGGTCAAGTTGTAGTACCCAGAGACTCCAAAACCCCTTAATTAAGGAATATACCTATAGGATCCCTAATATGATTTGATGTACATTCCTTAATTACGGGGTTTTGGAGTCTCTGGGTAGTTTAAGGTCAGGTTCTCTTTGTTGCTTCGGTGTGCCCGTGTCAGGCCAGCAGCCGCTTGGTGATGTGCGCAGCCTCCGTATGTTGTGGCCAGACGAGAACCCAGAGACTCCAAAGCCCCTTAATTAAGGAATATACCTCAAATCATATTAGGGATCCTATTATCATTTAAGGTATATTCCTTAATTAAGGGGCTTTGGAGTCTCTGAAGACGAGATGGCGTACCATCGAACGGAGAATGAATCTTGCCCGAGGGGATTTGGCGTGCAGAGCTTCAGGTGACAATTTTTGATTCTCGATCTCAACTCGAATCCCCGCACCGGGCAGACATCAGGTAGTAACCTGGCACTTTGGATGACTCATGCGCGGCCTAGCTGCGTGCTGGAGATGAGTCTCAACTACAGTTTCGGCGAATGCGGTGCAGACAATCGCCACCCGCTCAGCGTGCGGGGGCGAGTTTTCAACGCAACTCTGAAACCGAGAAACCTTAGTTCAGCTACTACCACTTGGCCCGCTCGCAGATGCTCCTGGAGCGCCGTACATGGCTCCAGGCTGTAAAGTCTCCGAAAGCTCAGGAGCAACTCCTCAAGAAAAAGCACGATAGTCGATAGCTTTTGCCGACTGTGGGCTTCCTTTGTTGTGCTCCGGGGGATTGGGGGCCTGGGGCTTTGCTTGAGCTTCCGATTGCAGGCGCACTGCTTCCACCCAAGCTCCCCTCCAGTCGTTCTGGATTTCAGATTTCGCAATCACTCCTCCAAGCCCTGAACCGCACTTCACAAGGTCTCCAGACGCCAGATCAGATCTGATGCAAACGAAACCGGAACGCCCAAGGCCTAGGCCAAAAAAAAAGCCTTGCGCCCGTGGATCCTTTAACCCCTCCCACCCTTGACAGCCAAGCCCGGACCCGATTTCCGGAGCGCACCGTAGTAATAGTTTACTAACAAAAATCATGATAGGTACAAGAATCATAAAATTCGAGGTTCAAGTTGCCATAACATGAATGAAAAAATAGGTACCATAATCATACTACTACTCATAATAATAATAAGAAGAATAATAGTAATAATATTAATCATAATCATAATCATACTAACAATACTAAGAAGAGCACTTCTATTCGTGTGATGTTCAAGTTGCCATCCTGAGCTTGCCCATGTGCCGGACAGTCGAAGACTTCCTGTAGCTTTCAAGGGCAAAGGGGGTGGCCGGGCGATGGCATTCGGCTTTAGGTGGTTACGAGGAGTAGGGTCTTGGGGTTCAGGGATTTGAGTTTCGGGTTTCGGGAGGGCGATCGCGAGACTGGCCAGCAAGGGATCAAAAGTGCTCGAAGCAAAAGGGAAACCCTGAGAATTGTTCATGTTCACGTTCCTTGAGCGCTCCCTGCACTAGCAGGTGTTCCCATGTCGGGCTTGTGGTTAGGAAGTGCAGCTTCTCAAAGTGATGCGTTTTGTAGCTCCGATGCAATGGCTTGTGGGATGGGTCTTGCACCGTCGCCGCCACCCTTGTCCGAAGCTTCTGAGAAAGAAACGTCATTGCAAATTCGGCGCAGAATGGTACGACCCCGCAGGTCCAAGTGAACCCCGAACAGGACATAACCCCTGCAATCAGCAAGAGTTAAATGCTGAGAATCGAAGGACGAGCCCAAACAAAGAGCGGAGTTACATAGATCAAGGATTCGTTCCAGACTTCGTATCTTGTTCTTGTACTTGCACAACAATGTCTCTAAATGAGTCACAGCCCCAGAAGCATCAACGGGAGAAGCCCTGCAACCCGAGAAGCTACTAAGGTAAGTACGACAAGTTAATGGATGTTGTGAAATCCTCACTTGGGGGTTTCCGAAAATAGGGGCCCCTAATATAGCACCCTAAATAGTAGGATCCTTATTCTAAGGACCTTAAAATAAGGTACCCTAATTTTTGGAAACTCCCACTTCGACCCGGTGGGTTACGCAAATGTCCAGTTGGCGAAGCCAACCTTTGAATCCGGCTGAGTCGCGTCCGAGGCTTGGAGGTGCAGCCCGTTAGGGCCAGGAAAGTACCCGGAGACTCCCAAAACCCCTTAATTAAGGAATATACCATAAATGATAATAGGATTCCTAAGATGATTTAAGGTATATCCCTTAATTAAGGAATATACCATAAATTATAATAGGATCCCTAAGATGATTTGAGGTATATTCCTTAGTTAAGGGATATTGGAGTCTCTAGGTAACAGAAAAAAGGCCAGGAATGAGCGTTCCGCCAAAGAGTGAAGGCGAGACTGGCGTCTTCCTTCTCCTGCTGATAGGGACGGGTTTTCTCCTTCAAGGTCCTACTGTCCTGCTGAAGTTGTAAGAATTCAGAAGGGCATAGGTTTAGGTGAAGCAGGGTGGTTAGTCTCCATGTGGGTTTCAAGTCTCCTGCACAAGATCATACTGAATCCAAGCTTAGCTACAGCCTTGCCATAAAGCATCGAGCCAGAATCGAGAGAGTACACCGCAGACCTGCTCGCCTAAAGACCCTGGCCCGGTCCCGTTCCTTGGTGTCGATTGCGCACCAGCTTTTTGCCATAAAAGCTCCCAAGCTGCACCCTGGCTCGGCTTCATGCTTGTGGCTAAGAGCCTCCAACAAAACCCTTCAGCGTGGCCTTCAAGAACTCTTGTCACTTTCGTTTGGAGCTCTGCGAGCCTTTAGGTCACTAGGGATCTTCGAGGCTTCGAGCTCCCATGAAACGAGACCTTTAGCTGGATAGACCACTGCATCCAATCGCTAAACCCTAAACCCTAAACCCTAAACCTTCAAAGAACTCTTCACTCCAAGCCCGGGCATCTCTGCCTGCGCGTCCTGCAGCGAATTCGGACACCACAAAAACCCCTCCACCACGTCGCGCGGCAGCTCGAAAAGCGCGAAGGATTCAGCTTGATCGGCTAGCTGCTACGTTGATGATATCTGATATCATAGCATCCTCACACAAGGAGCTCCTTAAATCTGGTTCAGTCGGCTAGGTTCCTTCAGGAATTGGCCTTGCCAGCGATACGTCGCGTAGCTGGCGATTCAGAAAGCATCGGGACCGGTTGGGGATTAGTAACATTCAGAGTAACCCCCTTGCAACTTTTAGTAGCTGAGTGTTTCAGTGATTGCCCAGAGACATAAGCCTGAACCGGCCAGTCTCCAACCGCAACATAATTGAATTCCTACATAGCAACGGTAACATGAAGAAGCAGCCCTAACAGGCTTTTCCGGCTGTTCGGCTGGCAAGGAAAAGGTCGCGAGTTTTGCGCTCAATGCAAACTCTGCACAGAGCTTCTGGCCACAATCATGCCTCCGTCAAGTAAAGCCGTGACAGCTAGTGGCACCACCTCACCTGGGAAACGAACCAACAGAGCAAATCCAATGGAGACTCCCCAAATCCCAGAAGCTGCAAAATGCAGGTGTTGTTCGTGGTCTATTTCACAGCTTTGGTGTTGCTTTTCAAGGCTCCATCGCCACGTGGACATTCGGACTGCGGTTCGACGGTAGCTTGGATGGTAGGGCCTTACGGCAAAATGAAGAGGTTGGGTTTGGAATTGTTTATTTGTCTCGTATGCTTCCGACTTCGGCATCTGACTTCCCATCCAGCATGACTGTGTGGGGGACTCTGGATCAAGCCTGTCTACCGGCTCAGCTTGGGGGAGATGTCCGTGGTTTCATTGTCTTTCTCCCCAAGTCCGGAACGGCGTTTACGGTTTGGTTTGGACTTGATGGGAGTTGGAAGACAGGAAACTGGCTTCGAGTCTTCGAGTACAGCCCAGAGTCATACAGGAACCTTGTATAATAGGCCTCCTGAAGAAGAGCACCTCTCCACGGCTCGTGTTCGGAGGCATTTTATGTGCTAGAAACCTCAAGCTGCAGCCATGGAAACTTGTCACAGAACTCTCTGCGTTGCAGCAACACAAGCTCACAAGCCCAAACGGCCTAAACCCAGCCAGGCGCCGTATTGCTATGCCTCATACGTCCTGCCCATCACCAGCCAGAGCCTGGGAATCGGCCGTCGAGTTTCCCGTGACGGTTGGGGGTCCAGGGTTTGAGGACTCATCTTGCCAAAGAGCGTGGTCCATTTTCTTGCGAAAGTCTTCGTTGAACGATTGCGCACTGGGACAGCCACCAGATTTCTGCGAATCTCCGAGGCGCGCGCGCCTGGCTTGCCAAGCGCAGCTTTCTGCTTTTGCTCCTCTCAGAGGTGCCGCCCGTTTGTGTCCTCCTTTGGGGTCCGTCGACAACTAACATCAGCCCCACACCACCCATGAAAAAAGCGCCCAACGACTTTCAGAAGATCCCCGCGACCGAAAGCATTTCTCGAATCCTCCTGACATCATACAGGGGCCTTAATAATTAGAATAGGGTTTGGGGTATACTAATTATGATTATAATAAGGAACTCCTAAAACCCTATTTGTACTGCGGGAAGGGGCTGCGCTGGTCGCAGGTGTTCATCTCCTTGGGCAGCTATTCAGCGCAGGACAGGATGGAGTCTTCCCAAGGGATCTGCTACGAAGCGCAAAAGTCAGATATGTCTTTCGTTCTTTTTGGGTGACACGGTGCCAAGTAGTCCGGGTCTCCTTTCTACTTTCTTGGTGATGCCGTCTCCTTGCGTGGCCCTTTGTATCCTGGAGATCAACGCTCTGGGATTGCAATACCGACCATCAGACCTGTGCAGTGGTCTTTGTTGGGGCAAGAACTTCGAACCCTCCTCTCGAATCTCACCACCAGAAAGGGGTTGCCTACGATGTCTCCTTTTGGGCATGAGGAATGGTGGTGTTGGGACTGGGGCCATTTTCGAATAAACCAATTTCCGTTTCAAGCCAAACCNNGTTTCAAGCCCATCCAGCCCCGCCCAGCCCAGTCCAGCCCAGCAGCAGCCCACAGCCAGAACAGCCCAGCGAAGGGCAGTTAGGGTCCCGTTCGCGTGGGAGGTTCCTTAAACTTGAGGATCCCATTCTGAAGGATCCATCGAAGGGTTCTTGAGCTGTTTGGATCTATGTAAGGCGTTCCTCACTTTCTGAGACTCTTGCCATCATCCGAGAAACCCTTACCATCATGAGACCACAAACCTCAAGCCTCGCTTCAGGACATAGCTCAGTGGTGGGAGCTGAACGGACGGGCACCAGAGGAGATCCAGATGTTTGCCTTTGCAGCCACGACCTTGGCAACGAGCATTGCTGCCATTGGGGCCGGAAGTTCACCCTAAACCCTAAACCCTAAAAGGCGTACTAGTCAGATTCCTCTTGGATCTCTTGAGCTTCGAGCTCGGATCTGGGATGAAATTTGCGAAGGTTGCTGCTTTACGTCGTCGTGCCATTTGTACACCGGGACATGGAAGCCCCAAAGGCCACAACAGCTGCAACGACCTACAAGAAATCCTTAGAGCCTGAAACAGGTGAAATTCTCAGCCGACCACTGGTTCAACTTTACGGCCATGAACTCTTGTCATCCCAGATGGTGGTTGGACTCCCACTGCTTCTGACCATCCTCTTCTCGGCGCTTCGCCGCTTGAATGTCCGAAGCCTGGGAAATGTCCTGGTGAGCATGATGATAATATAGGCGCCTAAATCATTACCAATACTAGTGCGGGGGTTCCTTATACAAACAAAGTATACTATACCCCAAAGCCTATTCCAATTATTAAGGCCCCTATATGAGTTCTGTGATGCCGTTTGACACCTGACTGGCAAAGTGTATCGACCTTCGGCCTCTGTGTGTGTTACCCAAACTGTTCACGACCGCGAAGGGCTTCGACAAAGTATCGAAAAGGTTTCTACCAGTCCGCGTGAGTTGCTTATGGTGGCTTCTGCCAATACTTAGAGGCCCAGGGGACTTAGTAAGTCGGTTATAAGTAAGGTTATAATTACGGTGACTCCATTTAGGGTACTTATAACTCTACTCATAACCTACTTACTAAGTCCCCTGGGCCTCCAAGTAGATTTGGCCATACAAAGGGATCGCTAGCGGACTAGCGTTTGTCCTTTGGCCGTTACGTGACAGTCAAGTCGGCCGTTCGAAGCCTCTGTTTGCGAGAAGTACATGCTGCCCTTGAGACAAGGCGACGGTGCTCCAGGTCCCGGTTCAGAAGCGGAACAGCTGCAGCAAAACCTCGTGAATCCAAATGCCCCGAACGGTCAAAGCCGAAGCCCAACAGCCTTGAACTTCAGAGAATCCTCAGAACAGACCAGACGCTTTACCACAGGTTTGGGGCCCCTGGGCTCTGCGAGACTTTGCTTGCCTCCTCCCGCCTGGCATGCACGCGACCAAGTGAGATGCCCCGAACAGCAGAGCCACGATGTTAACCCAAGATTCTTTTGGGGAGATTGTCCCATACGGGGACTGAAGTGCATGTACGGAAAGGGCGGTAGCATTCCTGGTTTCTCCGCAATGGAGTGGTTTCAGAGTTCGGGGTGTCGAAAGCCGCAGGCGGAGGCTGCACACTTGTCCGGTTGTCGAAAGGCGGAGGGCTACCTCGTTGCTCCGAAATCCCAATTACTCCAAATCCCAATCACGAACTAGGTAGTTTTCTAAATTAGGGTCCCTTTTAGGGTCCTTTTTATAAGGGTGCCGTACTATATTGGGGACCTAAAAAGGGACCCTATTTTAGAGAACCACCCACCTACATTGTCAGCTTTTGTCGGTAGAAGATGGCATCGAATCGGATTCACTTCCTCAACCGTGCCAGGATCAAGGTATCAAGCAGCCCTGATTCTCAACTCACCTACAAGCCTTGCATGACCCCGCAATGCTTTTCCAAGTTGTGCGGAGCCGCGGAGATCACCCGGCTGCGCATCCTATTCGTAAAAGACTGAGGCTTCTTAGAGTCCTCGCAGTGTGTGACGTACGAGGCCGGTACATTTTGGCAGGATCTGTCTGTTTTCTTTCGTGGCTTGCAAGGCTTGATTGATAGAGGTATTTTGGACATGCAGGATCGAATGCGTGACAGTGATATTTGCAAACAGACATGACACTGTGGGACTGCAACAAGGGCCAGTACTTCAGAATCTTGCAAAGACTGGAGAGCTTTCGACACAGACATTGCCTGCAAAGCAGCTTGAGCCCCAAACTTCGAACCCGACCTAGCCAAAAACACCCCGACGGAGGCCACGATCGGTCAGAGCTCTTTGTGGCGGCTCTGCTGGCCGCCGCGGCCGTCGATGCTGCAAGGCAGTGCAGCTGCGTAACTTCTGAAGCAATGTTCATACTGTTGATGGACAAAATTCTGCATGACCCAAATATAGTATAGTACCATAAATCCCATAGTTTAGGTATATAAGGTCATGCAGGATTTTGTCCATCAACCGTATGGTTCTAAGGCGGGTATGGGTTTCTGCAGTGGTGCATTTGGTAGGATGGAGTGGTGGAGTCGGCTTGAAGGCGGCTCGGAGTGTTGTTGTATGCGACTACTGTACGCGTGGTGTTGGCGGTGGCACCTCAAGAGATCGGGCGCTCCAGCGCAGAAGCTTCATGCCATCGTCCCGAGACTCCTGCTGCCGTGCCCCCACTCGAAGATGATTTAACCTGATGCCATGGCTCTGGCAAGCACTGTGCCTATCCAGTGACAGGTTGTAAGCGTCACCGTTGCATTGTTTCTACATGAGTCAGTGAACAGACAGCCTGCTACTGAATTCTGAATGACTTTCTTCACTCAGCATGACCAATTTGATCTCGGGTGTTAGCGACCTGAAAGTATGACTTTCTGGCTGCCACCCCTCTGTTGCCAGAAACGTTCTACTGCGTTTAACCTCCATCGAGTCCTTGTGTTCATTCATGTGATAGCCTGAACCTCACCCGGCATGTTCGCCGATGTCAGATATACCGCCGTCCTCTGCGCAATGATGACGGTCTTGGGCAACAAGTGGTATGCCATGAAGGCACAGCTCCCAAAGTGTCAGGTTCGTAGCTATGCGGCTTAGTTGGGCCGCCAGGCTTTCAGGTTTCTCCAGAGCTTAACGGTTTGCTGTCATGGCTGGCAGCTTTGCTATGGTGGAAGCCGTCCTTGCACATCAAGCCAAACAATCTCACTTGGATTCCGTCACTACTTGTAGGGTCAGAAGATTGGGCCCGTCCCAAAGTCCACAACCTCAGTGGTCTTTCTCAAACAAAGCGTGAGATTCAATCTTAAACCAGCCTGCTTAAGCAGCCGAGAGAAAGCACGTAATCACAGGATGCAAATGCCCTGGTGTCAGTCGAAACTGTCCTTTAGAGTGGACTATAGCTATAAGGTGCTGATACGGACTTCGCGTTACTACATGGTTCCGGCTATCAGCGAGTTCAAGAGGGTACTATACGGTTCTATATGGGTGAAATAAGGCATAGACGACCCGTTTCCTACAATTTGGCGGCCATAGGCTACTGTCAGGTTGAAAGATTTTAACCCTAAACCCCTAAACCCCCAAACCCGAAACCCCTAAAACCCTCAAACCGTCAAACTCCAAAGGCCCTCAAACCCCTAAACCCCTAAACCCCAAACCCCAACATCCTCAAAACCCCCTCTGAACACCAAGACCCGTTTCCCGTCTTCCCAGGGCTGCTTCCTGGCGGCTCTGCTCGCCTCCTTGACCCGCGCGGCGGCTCCCCGCTTTCAGCCGTGGCCTCGCGGTCGTCGCTTTTTCGTTTCTGCACGCATACACGTAGAAGCGTGTGTGTCTGCGTTGCTGTGTATATATCTATATATATATATATATATATGTGTGTCTATGTGTATATATATATATATACATATATATATATACACATACCTACACACATACACAGGTGTGCAAGTACACATGCATGACCAGTGGGTGCTCGGGTTACGCTCGAAGGTAGAGTGGATCCAAAT